CGTTTCAAGTTAAAGATACCATGATTAGGATGCTAGTAAGAGAATATGAACTGTTTAAAATGGGCGAAAATGAAAACATTACTAAAATGTATGCAAGATTCACAAAATTGTACGTGGATTAATGACTCTTAGAAAAGTCTATACGAATGTTGATCTATTAAGTAAGATCTTAGAATCATTACCAAGGTTATGGAGACCAAAGGTAACAGCAGTTGAAGAATCAAAAGATCTTGCCAAATTTGAGTTAAGTGAGTTAATAGGCTCACTAACGGGTTATGAAAGTGTGCTGAAAATTGGGAGGACGATCAACCTCGCAAGAGGAAGGATCTAGCTCTCAAATCTCATCTTATGATAGATGAAGAAGAAATATAAGAACAGATTATGATTCAAACAGAATCATAACACCAATCATGGATGATCCAGTCATGATGGGAAATTTAAAAGGAAGATCGAAAATAGAAGATCTAATAAAACCGAAGAAGACAAAGTGCAATAACTACAGAGAAAGGTACTATCATTTGTTTCAGGTGTGGAAAACTAGGGCATCTTAGGGCTAACTGCCCTAACAAAAAATATGCTAAAGAACGAACCATGGCTGACACATGGAGTTGTAGTGAATAAGAGCCAGACGAGTTAGAAAACGAAAGAAAGCATCAAAGCTATGATCATATGGAACAAGATCATATAGGTGTAAAATCAAAAGAGACACCAAAATTTCATGTACTCCTTGAGCCACTTCATGCATACATAGACTATGAATCAGACGTTTCGATTAAGACATCCAATATAAACACTAGAGGCCATAATGACAAATCTCTCAATCATGATTTAAAAAAGAAACTAAAGAAAAAAGAACGAATGTTTAGTGAAATCATGGATAGTATATGTGATCTACAATACTTTCAAAAACAAATGAAACTGTGACAGAAGCATTAACAAGAACTTAGAACTTGGAAACCTTATTTAGAGCAAAGATAGCAAGAAAAATCCTCAAATTCATATAAAATCAAGTGCTTCAAGTGTCATAACTATGGACACAAAGGAGTTGAATGTTACACTCGTATAAACTGCTGGTTCTATCAGAGTATAAAACATCATAGTAGTCAATGCATTTTTTATATCACAGAGCAGGTAAATAGATTTAAACAACATTGGATTCCAAAACAAAAAAATCAATGAAATTGACAACTGAATGGATCTCTAAACAATATAGAATAACGTAGTTAAATTACAACCTTAGTAATAATAAATAGGCCTAAATAAACAAAATAATAATAAATTTTACTTTCTACTTTTCTTCCTCTCACGACTTTTTGACAGGACAAATTCCTTCCCTTTATACCTTTGATGACACTCAAATCTAGTTTTTTTTTGTACAGAAAGTCATCATTTCATCTGTCTATTTCACTAAACCAGACATGGTTAGCGTATGCGTGAAAACTGATCGTTGAAGGATATTGAGTCTAACCTTGGTAAGCTATCTTGGACGATTGAGTTTTCTCTCTTCTTCCCTCCCTGTAACTTGGTAAACTCCCCGCCCCTAGATCTTCATAGCGGTTACCCAAAAAGGCATGATTGACGTGTCTCCAAAATCATCCAGCTCTCTCCTTTCCACGATTGAATTTTCTTCCCCTTAAAAAATCCTTTTTGTCCATTTCATTCCTCTTAATCTTTCTACAGACTATCTCTCATCCAAGATCTCTTCCCAACTTTGAAAATTTTCACAAGTTTCATCTATCTTTTTGCTCAAACCCTCAAATCTCTTTCAATGACCATGGCCAAAACAGTAGAAGCGCTCGCCTATTCCAATGCCGACTGCCGCTCAGTAAGATGGCAAGTTGACTACTATTCTACCACAAAAATTCTATCTTAGTAGAGCTCGAGTTTCCCTCCATGTCACATACACCCTTAGAGGTTCGCCAGCTGATCAAAAACCTAGGTTGGGAATGGTTCGTTGACCTCCTAAAGCCAAACTCCACCGAGTACTTCCCACTGATCATTAGAAAATTCTACTTCAGCCTTATTGTAGACGGTCCAGTTAGATCAACACTAACCTCTATCTTTCAAGGAAGGCGTTCCTGCTTCAAAGTGAATTACTTCGTCGAGAAGCTGAATCAAACATTTCAAGGTATGAATCTTCATAAGTGAGTTGATATCTTATGGATTTCATATTGATGTACACCAAAGTCTTAGAACTACATGAACCCTCTAAGTCCTCACATAGATGACAATTTCATATTTAAATAATGTACATATGATAGCCCTAAGTGTGTTTTTATACTATTTGATGTCTTTTTGGTATTGTTTTGTGATTTCAAGGTTATAAACTTATAATGCACTCAACATGAATATGGATATCCAGGTGACCCAATGGATTAGAAGGAGGATGAGAATACAAGCTCATATGCTCAAACATAGTTGGATTTTGGCATCGGTTGGTCACTTTATGGTCAAAACAAGCAGATATGGTAGTGTAGCAGGCCCAACATTAACCAAGGTCCAACCGGAGTTCTATAAGTCAAAACACGGCCAAATTTGGAAGAGAGTTTGCTTGTGGGCTAAAAAATCAAGACCAAGTGGAAAAGGAGCGCCAGCCCCAACTGTCACACCCCCGCCGCTCATGCCCTAACTTTCCAGAAGCTTCTATAACCAGCCTACTTCGCCCCCAAGTCGATGGAATCTGAATTCAAGTGCTACAAGGAAGATTTTGGCCAACTTTAGAAGAAGAAAAAACTAGAAACCCTCTTTTGTAAATAGTATAAATAGGAGGCTAGACTAGAGCTTTAGACACACATTTTACCAGCACTCTGCCCTAGGGGCACGAGTAACAATCAATAGAGACAAAAGGCGAAGTCCTGCTGGAGCTCGACTAGGATGATTCACCATCGATGCATGTATAAATGGTGATAATGTTCTACTCTCATTTCTATTTATAGTCGATCTATTTAAGGATGTGAATTATTTGATGTTTTACGCATCTAGTTCTATGATTTAATGAGATGCCTATCGTGTTTATGATCTTTATCATCTATATTTGATGTCAATCTATACTTGTATCATCTATTGCTTGAGTTATTTGATGTTATGGTTACTAGATGTTTTAGTTAATCAATGCTTATGATTCTGTTATGAGTTAATATATGCATCGTTTATACTACTATTATGGGAGAGGAGACAATGAGTACTAATCTCGTGTAATAGGCATCTTCTTAAACGTGTATGTGTGTGTGTGTGGGGGGGGGGTGTAGCTACCCTTTTATACATGAATGATGATGGTGCTTGATAATTTCGATAATTGATGATATTGATTATCGAATCATGTGTTATCTTAACTTCCCTATTCTTTATTGATTATGTGATGGCATGAAGCGAAAGCATGTATTGGCATCTTAATAGAAGATGCATTCAAGTATCTTGTTAATGATAATGAATGCATGAACATCTAGAATCACTACCTAAGCATTAGTTTCGTTGCTTGTTTTTTTTTTTTTTTTGCTTTGCATTGCATTGTTTGTTTTCTTTCTAGTTTTAATAGAGTAGCAGCACGAATAAGGGCACCTCAACCCAAATCATTTACTTTTACTTGCATCACAGATTCGAGCATAATATGGTACGTTTGAGTAGTTTCTATCAAAAGATCAACCTCGTGGAATATGACCCTAGGACATCCTAGGATTTTATCACTTTTCTTTTTGTAATAAGAAACCATATTCAAATGGAGATTCACGTGTTGGTTTCTTCCCTATGCGTTTGGGTTCCAGATTTTCAATTGTGTTGAACTATAAGAAGAACATATTGGACATATGAGAGGTGGTGCTACTTCATTGCTCAATCTTTCTGGACTCCGCTTCAAATGAATCGCCTCCAACCTCAACAAACCATACGGTGGCGAGGGCAACGACAAGGTTTCCGGAGGGTACGGCAGCAAAAGGTTGTCCTGGGTTTATTCGTGGTGGTCAGATCATCAGGCGGAATGGAGTGATGAAAAGTGGATATGGAAGTTGATTGACGATCTTATGGGGAGGATTGACAACAATGAAGACGACGAGAGGATAAATAGGATATTAACAATGATAAATATGAGTTTTTGGTTATCACTTACAAATATCACATCCACATCCAAACAAGAAGTTTTCTTAAAATCTCATATCTTAATTTCTTGGATTTTTAATTGAGAGATTTGGACACAAACCAGGGTGATCACTAGACCAACATCCAATCTAAGAATGAATGTATGATAATGTCCCTCCATAACAAATCCCGTTGTATAGATTAGGAAATTTAATAACAAGGAATTTGAGTTGAAATTGCTCATTTAAAGTCGGCTAAATTGCAAGTTTGACCACTAGAATTACTTAAAAATTTCACGTTTGCCACTAAAATTAATTTATTTCATCCGTAGTCACTAAAATTAGGTTAACAGTTCAAGTTTGGTCACTGGCCGTTAGTCTCCGTTAACTTTTGCTGATGTGACGGTCAACTCTTATAGTTGACCGTTAAAACAGTGACGTGGCAATTAAAAAATTAATAAATAAAATAATTTAATTATTTTTTATTTCCACTTAATTATTATAAACATTAAAAAAATATCAATTCCTTTGATTATTATTTTCCACCCCCGTCCACGTTCCTCTTCCCTCCGGTTGACGACCTCTCCCAGCCGGCCAAGCCCCGCGCCATCACCGTCTTGGCGAGATTGGTGCTCCAAGACCAACAACTAAGCTTCAAGTTAGGGCACCAAGACCAACAACTAAGCTTCAAGTTCTCGAGATTAGGGCTCAGAATCTTGAGCTCCTTGACGCGAGATAGCCTGAACAAACAGAGTGACTGAAGCGATGTGCAGCAAGAGATCAAGTCATTGAGAAGCGCATCTGTCATTGTGCAAGCACCGTCGATACGTAGCGATTTCAGGTTAGAAGGCGGAGGAGATACGTTAGGGTCGCCTTTAATTGAGTCGTCCAATGTCAGGGTTTTCAGAGAGTGAGCCCCTGTGATCCGAATCAATTGGGTGAAGGGCATCTCCGGACAGTGATGGATTTCAGGTTGGGATGGTTACAAACTTCAAGCATGTCGGTTTCTTCTGATCGCCTGTTCAAGTAATCCATGTAGCCCAGAGTCAATTCTTCAAAGAGAGGGGCGTCGCCGATGATGCCGTTGAGAAATCGGCCGCCATCGACGGCGAAGTGGGTCAAAGAGAGCACCCTCAAATTGACCATTGGATCGAGACAAGGAGATTCCATGAAACTAAAGTCGTGGAGTTTGAGAATCTTTAGATTGGTTAATTGATGAGGGAGGAGGACCGATTGATGCCCATATTTGAATTTAATGACCATCTCTGCTAGCCGCGGCGGGGAGCAGATCATGTTCAAGACGGTGATGGTTCGGGGCTTGGCCGGCCGAAAAGGTTGTCGACTGGAGGGAAGAGGAACGGGGACGTGCGATGGAAAATAATAATTAAAGGTATTAGGATTTTTTTAATTTTTATAATAATTAGGTGGAAAATGAAAATAATTAAATTAAATTATTTTATTAATTTTTAATTGTCACATCACTCTTTTAACGGTCAACTATAAGAGTTGACCGCCACATCAACAAAAGTTAACGGAGACTAACGGCCAATGATCAAACTTAAACTGTTAACCTAATTTAAGTGACTACGGATGAAATAAATTAATTTTAGTGGCAAACATGAAATTTTTAAGTAATTATAGTGACCGAACTTGAAATTTAGCCTTTGAAGTCTGAGATCTTTTTGGGTGTGGGATTTGACAAAAGTATTTGTCTATTTGTGGGTTCAAGTTATCAATAAAAAAACTACACTGGGCCAAAGTCCACATTTGTCCCTTGTTCTTCATCTTCAACTTTGGCCACAACCAACCACCAGAAGACCATATTCTCAATCTCCATATCCAGTGTTGGTGAAGGAGGGAAAATCATTAAGGAGGACCGCGACGAAGGGTATGTTTAAAATTTTATAAAATTAAACAAGACAAAATTGAAAGAAAACAAGCTAGTGAAGGATTTCAAAATAACTGAATGCAAGTATTCAAAAACTCACTTACACGTGTTTAACATCTTTAATCTAAAAACCACTCATTTGATCAAACATGTTATTCAACCAAAATTTGACAAAAGGAGTTTTGAACAAAATCTTGCATAAAAATCATCCATCCAAACAATACCTATAACAAAAATGGCTCCATTGTGAAAGCTGGAAGCATGGGCAATTTGAATTCGTCCCGCGGGTATTATCTGACCTGACCTGTGATGGGGCGGCTATTATCCAGCCTGCAGTAGCATGGTGCGGAGCATTGGTATCTACTTCTGACCCCCACTGTCCCGTTCTTGGCCTATTCTATCTCAATTTTTAAAGTATCTATACATATTTCTCCTACTTTGACTTTTCTTCAGCTAGTTAGAGTCGATCTTTCAACTTGTTAGACTCATTAACTCATTCAATTATCACTATTATTCATTCATAAAGTATTTTTCCATTCGTTTATCATAAAAAGTAAAGTTTGCATGTATTTTTTTTTTCCAAATAACATATAAGAATAGGTCGACCTGCCCTGTCCCGTACCCATGCTAATTTTACCCAACCCGAACCGCAGTAGCGTGAGACGAGACATGGATATGGATGCACTTGCCGACCCCGCCCTGCCTAATGCCATCACTAGCTGGAAGGAGCATCCATGAGCTATATAACTGGCGAGCTATAAGTAGCGTATTACGCCTCTCTCCACCTTTACTTTCCTCTCCCTTCTCACTAGAGTTTCAATTTCAAATTGGAGATGGGGCTGCCGTCGGCTTCTGCCATGGGACCGGCGGTGGCCCTAAAGATTTTCATTTTCTGCTTTCCTTTTCCTTGTGCTTTCCTGTGGTGCTTGCTCATCTTAGCTTTTCCCTTTTTTTTTCTTTTTCTTTCTTTTTTCTTTTGTTGCGGTTTCATTTCCAGGGCTCTGGCTTCATTTTCTCCTTTGGTTTTCTCCCTAGTTCTGTTCCTCTTCCATCCTTGGTGATGATGTCGTTCTTGTCTCCCTTGTGGAGATACTTTTGCTTCCCACCATTCTGGTTTTCAGATCTATGTGGATGACTCTCTTGGTAGGTGTTTGAGGGAGTCGATTTCATCGGCTCGCTTACTCCTCTCTGGTTCTTCATCTACCTCCTATTGTTTCATCCAAAAATGGGGATGATTCGGAGATGCATGGACCTTTGTTGTCTTGGATGAGTTTTCAGGGGGCTTGTGAGCAAGGGAAGTCATCTTTGAGATTGGGAGTTCAGTCGTTCACTGAGATTGGCGGGTTTCAGCCGCCACTCCTCTGTCCAAGACTCGCTTGAGCTTTTCTGGTTTGCTTGTGTGTGCAGGTGGATCTCAAAGTTGATCCTGAGTTTGGTTCTCCCCGATGAGGCTGTTGCTGTTGGGAATGAATAGCTTTGAAAGCTATATTGAATTAATTATCCAGTATTCTTTCTAGATACGGAAATAAGATGGATAATTAATAAAAGGAATATTATGGAGATAATTAGGAATAATTATCTTAATAGATTATATTTTAATTATGGGAGTAATTATCTCCCTAATTAAAATATGACTTATTCCCAAAGAAAGAGGGAATATTCTGGGTTTTCTGCTCCTATAAATAGGAGACGCCCCAGACCCTCTAAACACACCTCAGAGAGCAGAAACACGAGAGAGAGTGAGATTCAAAGAGCTCCGGTTTTCCGCACAAAACCGCTGAGCAAATAAAAAAAGTGGCTGTTTTATCCTGGAGGCGACCGGCTGATAGTCTGCTGTGCGAATTATGAGGCAGTGCCGCGAACGTCTTAAAGAGAGCGACCTAGTCCGCGACTCAGCCAGATCGGTAACCCTAATTTTTCCTGTTCGATTTCTAACATTTTAAAGACGTTCGGTGCTGTTGTGTCTAACAGGGAATCGGTTATGGCTTAAACGAATTTGATCTCCACCGAGCTTTCTTGACGTTCGCTCGCTCGATCGGGCCAAAAGATGCCCAGTTGCCCCCAATACTGCTTCGGAGATAATTATATTCTTTCGAGCATAGCTGCTCGCCTGCTACAATCACTACAAATAACACTCTGGGAATTTGGAAGATTGGTTTTGGAGGGAGCTGAGAGAGCTGGCAGCAGAGGGAAGTTTGGTTTCTGGACCATGTAAATAAAAGAATGCCCGGTCCAATTAAACCACCAAAGAAAAATTGATCTCCGCAAGCTACCTCGGCCGGGATCTAGAGCGGCTGGTTCTAGGCTCCGATTGCAGTCGTGGCGACGAGTACCGGCGATGACCAGAACCTCGCGACGATGACGCTGGGGAAGCAGGAACAGCGGGCAAAGAAAAAGTAGCCACAGATGGCCTCCGGCGGCGGCGGCGGGATAAACGAGTTCCGACGGCGGCGACGGGATAATAGAGTTCCAGTATTCTCTCGGATTCCGTGAGCCGCTGTTGCTGAAATGATGGTACCGGAAGCTTTATTGCAAGGATAAGAGAGATGAAAAGGAAGAAGCAGGGAACCTAATTTTGAGCGAGTAAACCAACAAGAAGCTTCCTTTCCATCAGTTCTGGTCCCGGGCCAAATTAATGAAAGCCGCTTCAGTAGTGGCCCAAGAAGCCGAGAAGGGTGAGACTCAAGGAGCTTTACGTGGGCTAGTTTTTCTGCTTGAAACGACAATGGTTTCTCAAAAAGAGGTAAGAACTAAAACCTATCTCGTGAGTCATTAATGAATGATAAAATTAGAATTCATGCCTATTAGTTTTATGCATGGAATTGAGAAATCTAATGAATGTTGAAAGGAAAGCTAGGATCGATGCATTGATTATATTGACATTGAGATGTGATTTCTTGATGATTTGAGTACAATTTTCTGTACATGTTGTGAAGTAGAGTAATTTTGATTACATAAATGCATACTCTGCCGTATATATGAATGTGTATTATATAGTCATATGCTATGGAAATGGGTTGTATGCCCATATTTATTTTTAAGAATATATGGGAATAGAATGGGTTTATTACCCACAATAATGATATTGTAAGAAGTACTATTATTAGTACTACACGAACCACTTAGACTGCTCTGAAACATTAAAGTTTCAAGAATGAGAGCATCAAGCCGAACCAGATCCACACCAAATAGAATGGTACCTTTCGTGGTAACCATAAGATTGCCACTCAATCCTCTAAGAATGACGCTATGTTTCTCAATTAAATTTGAGAAAAAATAGGTCATATGACACGAAAGTGTTAGAGCATGTTTAACATAGTATTGTGTTAACTTGATTAAAGAAGAGGATTTGGCAATAACAATCGCTTAGGTGATGACAGAGGTTAGCCTTAATGGTAACTCTGGAGAATGGTTGCTGGATACTAGTGCCCCAAGGCATTTTTGTGATAGACGATTTTTGTGATAGACGATCTAAGATGGATTCTTTTTTGGGACGTGTGTGTCCTTGTAAAGAATTAGAATATCTAAAGTCACATTCCCATATTATTCTCGAACGTTTGAGAAAGTTTGTATCCAAGCAAAATGACCCATTAAATATGTGGTTAGAGAATCAGAATTAATAGATCTGATTTATATTGATATGGGTAAACTTGATGGAAAAGACAATAAATAATTTATTGCTCTTTAGAGTGCTCTGAATAATTGTCTAACTAGTTATTCGAAATAGTATGAAATGCCTAGTTGCATTATGATTGCACTGATTATTCGATATGTGGCATGCATGTGGTAGCGTTAGAGAATCGGTGACATGATAACTAGAAGAGCATATGAGTGTGTAAGTTATTGTAAAACACATAAGCCTATGAAACGAAATACTCATTAGTTTGTGAAAACCATTGATGCCAATAGATTCCATTTATATTAAGAAATAGTGGGGGTGATTTCCTGCCTACTATTAGAAAATAATGGATAACTAGTGGGGGTGATGAATCTGAGTATGAACTCAGAAGAGACAAATGAACCATAAATCACGAAAAGATTTTGGTTATGAATTTGTTATTTACACCCTAAGAAAGAAAGATCCTACAAGTCTGCTAGAAGTTCGAACTTCCATAAAGATGCAGAATTGTGGGAGAATCCATTATTAATGAAATGGAATTATTGGAGTCTAATAAGACTTAAAATCTTGTAGAGTTACCTCTTGGTTGAAAAGCCTTGGGTAATATATCGATAGAATCGAACAAGATTGGCATCCGTGAGAATTACCTCTTGGCAATGAAGTCATGGGTGATAAATGGATTCTTAAAAGGAAAGTGAAACCTATTGGTTTAGTTTATGAGTATAAGGATCGCCTAATAGCTAAAGGCTTTAAGCGAAAAGGAAAAAATTGTAAATTTTCCTGTTATCTATTCACCATATGTAGAATAACATCCATGTATGTTCTGATTGCTAGTGTTGTGCGTCAGATGGATTGTTAAACATGTTTCTGTGAATGGTGATTTAGATAGGAAAATCTACATGGGACAACCTATAGGGTTGTTATTCCTGAACATGCTTAGGGAGTCTATAGTTAGACAAATTATTGTAAGATTTGAAATAGACTCTAAGACGATGGCATGAATAAACTGGTTCTCTCTCATGGTTTTAAAAGTGAAAGTGACAAGTGCATTTAGTACAAATTTGAGAATGACACTTGCATTATGAATGACACGTCGATCTTTGGTACAAAGACTCGTGATGTCAATATTGAAAAACCATGATGGTTGAGAATTTTGAATGTGAAGAATCTGTTTGAAACAAATGTTATGCTTAGAGATCCTAATAAATAGGAAAATACAAGATGTACACCTGCATACATGTTTGATGATGCTAGTATAAATATTTAAAGAACACCTAAGACGGTTTAAGAAAGTTAGAATATACTAACATTTACAGTCTGCGAGAGGCAGCTGATAAACATGAGACCCGATTTAGTGGGAGTACTTGGCAGACTAATTGATTGTCCTAGTATGAAGCATTGAAATGCTATTGAAAGGGGTCATGAGACACCTTAAGAACAGTAGACCTTGATATAAGTTATCAACGGTTTTTTCTATATTGGTAGGGTATAGTGATGCGGATTAGAATACCCTATAGAGGACTCCAAGACAACAAGAGGATGTGTTTTAAACATCGATAGAGAAGCTATGTCTTGGAAGTCTAAGAAGTAAACGATCCTGGCTCAATCAACTAAGAAATCAGAAATGACAGAGCTAGCAATGGCTAGTAAAGAGAAAAGTTGATTGAGAGGGTCATTACTAGAGATTCCCTTATGGGAAAGACCGATCCCTCCGGTAGTTGATTCATTGTGATAGCGCCGCAGCTATTACTAAAGAAGGGAACCGGTTCTAGAACGAAAAGAGACGACAAATTTGTCGTAAGCACAGTACTGTAAGAGAACTCCTAACGATAAGAGCAATGAGGGTGGATCCTGTAAGGTCCTAACAGAATCTAGCTGATCCTTTGACGAATGGATTATCTAGAGAGAAAGTCCAAAGTACCGCCAAGGGTATGAGACTTATGCCTACCAAACCATGGATTACAAGTGATGGTAACCCGACCCGATAGACTGGAGATCCCAAGAAACGGGTTCAATGGGTAATAACAAGTCATGAGTAATATTGAGAAAAGTTCATGCATAGTGAAGCATGAATCCCAAAGTCTTGGAGGTTGAGTTAAACTCTTAATGAGATCTATACTCTATGTGGAGTGAAGTACTTTACTTTGGGGGTACTTCTGATAGACTCACCTATGTGAATGTGGGAGTGGGGCCGCTCCCTATGGAACTTTGGAGGCACAAAGTTGCTAGAGCGTTCACTAAACCGGGATAACGTGCATGGCCATAAACGCACGGCCTATGAGAGAATACCACTCAATGAAAAGATCTGGTGTGCTACATTGTCTGAGATAGGGTTCAAGACTACGAGTCACCCTTATGAAATTGGAAGTGTAACCACTATGCTAAGGTTCAAATCTTCGCGATACCTTAGTTTATGCCCGATCTTATGGATCTGTTGATGCTCAGAGATAGTTTCAAAACTATTCAAGTGGGGGATTGTTGGGAATGAATAGCTTTGAAAGCTATATTGAATTAATTATCCAGTATTCTTTCTAAATACGGAAATAAGATGGATAATTAATAAAAGGAATATTATGGAGATAATTAGGAATAATTATCTTAATAGATTATATTTTAATTATGGGAGTAATTATCTCCCTAATTAAAATATGACTTATTCCCAAAGAAAGAGGGAATATTCTGGGTTTTCTGCTCCTATAAATAGGAGACGCCCCAGACCCTCTAAACACACCTCAGAGAGCAGAAACACGAGAGAGAGTGAGATTCAAAGAGCTCCGGTTTTCCGCACAAAATCGCTGAGCAAATCAAAAGAGTGGCTGTTTTATCCTGGAGGCGACCGGCTGATAGTCTGCTGTGCGAATTATGAGGCAGTGCCGCGAACGTCTTAAAGAGAGCGACCTAGTCCGCGACTCAGCCAGATCGGTAACCCTAATTTTTCCTGTTCGATTTCTAACAGTTGCTGCTTCGTCTCTCTTGTAGAGCCCTTGTGCTCCTCGGCGTCTGACCAAGGGTTGGCAGGGATGCCGGGTTGCTTTCGACAGTGGAGGATGTGAACGGCTACCTTTCTCTGGTGATTGGGCTAGTTGTTGTTAGGGTTGACGGGGGTGGGCTTGCCCACTTGTTTTGGACAGGGGTTTGGGACTTTGCGGTTTTGGGCCTGTGTTGGTTCACCTCCTTTTTTCGATCTTGGTTCAGTTGGTTTTTTTTTCCTTCTTTTCATTGTTGTTAAACTTTGTACACCATGGTTCGTATTAATGAAACAACCAATCATCTTTAAAAAAAAAAGTATTAAACAATGTTTCCCACAAGTGTCCTACCCCTATTTTTCTTTGTTATAAAATTTGCTTGCTAATAAGTGGTTGTGACAAGTGACAACATGACTGTAAAAAAAAAAAAAAAAGAAGACAAGTGAGAACAAACCGGTGGTTGTTGTTGCTAATTGTTATACACTTACCAACTTATTGTTTTTTATTCTCCTAAACAGAACTTACTCCTTAATAATCATTAAAGAATTATTGATTTGTGACACGTTTATGTGAAGGAGGTAGAATTCCTCGAAAAAAATGTCGTGGCTAAAGCAAATGGATTTCAATCTATTAGGTAACTCCAATGTCTAAACTTAAGGGCCCGTTTAGTATCATTTTGTTGTTGTTGTGGTTGTAGTGGTGTTGTGTAAACAGATGTACAACCACAACAGGAAAAAAACAGAAAACACAAACCTCTTTAGTTGATAAATCTGAAAAATCATGAAAGCTGAAAAACAAGAAACAAAAACGCGTTTAGTTACTACAAAAACGCGGGTCGGCGGGCTGGGCGGGCTGCGCGGCGGAGGGGTCGGGCTGCGCGGCGGGCTGGGTCAGCGCGGAGGCAGAGAGGTCGGGCGCGGAGGCAGAGGGGTCGGCAAGCGGACGTCGGCGGCGAGTCGGCGGGCTGCGCGGCGGAGGGTTGGGGCTGCGCGGCGGGCTGGATCGACGCGAAGGTGGAGGGGTCGGGCGCGAAGGCGGAGGGGCCGGCGACTGAGGAGGTGGCGGGCGGCTCGGCGGTGGTGAGGCGGAGGTGGCGCCTTGTTGAGAAGGGTGGCGGGTGACGCCTCAGTTGAGAAGGGTTTAAGGGAAGAATAGTTTGGGGGGCGGCGGCTGATATGTTAGAAGTAGGGTTTGGGGGGCGGCAGCTGTGTTAAAAAAAAAAGAAAAAATTTTGCTTCTGTGGGAATTCGAAAACTGGACTAATTTAATGAAATCAAGTGCCCAACCAGTAGGAATCCCGTGTGCAACATGTTTTAAAATCAGATCCAAAGCAATAAATTGTTGTTTCTCATATTTAGGCCTTGTTGTGCAACTCTGATTCACAACAGAAAATAGAAACCCAACTAAACATGTTTTTTTTTCTTGGTTTCTCCAATCTTTAAAAACACAACAGGAAACAAAAACAGGCAACAATACTAAACGGGGCCTAGCTAAAACAACCACGTTTTTGGTTTAATTTCTCTGCAACTACATAGTACATACTGTAACATTACTGATGGTCGGGTGGCTAAAATTTTAATTCAACCAATCATAAATACTTACCATGTCATTCAATAGACAAAGAATGTTCGCTAGAGAATATGAGTAATCACTTTTGATTATCACACTCAAAATCGGGATTTTACGAAAATCGAAAATGAGAGTAAAATCGGAATTGTAAAATCAAATCGTAATTGTAGGATTTTAAGGTCCATATAAATACGAAGACAAAATAATATTAATGAGAAAGATCATGAATAACACAAAAACACATAACAATTACAATGATAATTTGTTCCAATTTCTCAAGGTTAATGTTAGAAAGTGGTGAATAGATAATGATTAACACGTTGATGTGAATTGATGATGGTCGATAGTGGTTAGTGTGCGAGAACTAGATGATGTTGGTGGAAAAGATGCATAATTTTGCAAATTCCGAGAAAAATAAATAAAATTAATCAAAAGATTTAAATCGTAAAATCGCAAGATTTTAAAGATTTAAATCGTGAATCGTGTAGGATTTTAAGATATATATATAGACTTTATAGTGAAATTATTATAATCAAACAGATTAGTAAAATCGAGATTTTGATTGTTTTTATGATAATATGTTTTCTTCTTCCTAATCGGAAACTTAAATCTTTCATGCATCTCTAAACGACTAAACCTGTGTCATAAACTACTAGCGGACTACAAACAAAGGAGGGAATCAGATTCCTTCCTTCTCCGCTTCAAAGCTTTAGTTAACTTATTTTGGTTTCGTCCTTTTGAATACGCATACTGACAAGTGACCTTGGATCGAATCTGACACAACGACGATCTACCTGCCTGCCTGCCGCTGCAGTAGAACTACCATACTCCAGCATACCAATCCTTTCTTTAACAGTATTTTCTAAACGGAAGGGAAAGTAAACTGTTGGAGCTCTTCATTTTCTGTTTCCACCTTCTCAGCTCCAATAATCATAATATAGCAAGTACGGTTGGTAATTGGTTAGAGTAAATTATTCAGCCAACTGGGAGGGAGACAAAATTTTAATATATTTCGGAACTCCATTGAAGAAGAGTACATTACACACACGTTATGAGCTTGCAACAAAACGTGATAACTGACTCACTCCACAGAGACGCACACCAAGAAAACTTGCTCATTTGTTTACGACTGGTAATCACAGTCTCGCTCGCCACTTAATTTAACCACGCGAGCGAGGGGCTCTGTAATAAGCAGGCACAGTCGCCGGGAAGAACATCTGCCGTACTCCCTCCGCTTTAATTATCGGGAAAATGATTCCAGATGCGCCCTGCCCCCAACCAAACACACACACACATCATCGATCCACTTCTTCCTCAATCACAATCCTAGAACAAGAACGAGAAACGGGAGAAGAAGTAAAGCGCACTTACCGATATCAAGCGAGCCCCGATCCAGATGTGTTTCGGCCAAGGGAAAGGAACCAGGAGTCGCCCCACACCGTATACTGCAACTGCGAAGAAATGGAGGACCAAGCTCAACGGTCGAGGGTTCAAACCCGACAGCAACGAAACCGGTCCGCTCGAGAATACACCTCCAAGGCTGAGATAATCGAAGCAAGCTTCCCTCATTTCCTGTCTGGCTTTGTCCGGCGAAGCACAGAACACCTTGTACAATGCGCCAGCTAGCGTGTTGATCGTAGAAGCAACAGGCTGCATGTTGTGAACGCAGGCGTAGGTTACTTCATAGCACTAAACCAAGTGGGGCTATTTGTCTTGTTCAAAACAAGGAATCAACAAAAGAGCTTACCTTTCGCAAGGTGTAGAAGGATTCGAGGTACTTGCAGAGGGTAGGAGCATCGTGCAGGTCTTTCAAAGGCCTGAGAAGGTTGCGTAGGACAACAATGTCGGAGAGGGCAACCGTCATTCCACCCCCGGTCAATGGATGACGCATGTTGAATGCGTCCCCCATTAGCAATGCGCCTGGTGTGGGATATGGAGCAGCCGGCATGCTACGGTTGGGCATTGTTCTTATGTTACCTTTGTCCACAGCTGCCACAAATGAATCGTATATCTGTTTTGGGATCTGGGAAGTGAGGCATTATCAGACATCAGTTCAAGAAAACTATTCTATTGCCAAAAGGAAAAGAAGAAACATGGAATTTTTTCGATAATTTACCTGAGGGGCTACCACAGTCTTCAAATATGTTGCCATTTCACCACTGGAGATGGAAGGAACCTTCTGTCCAGGAACATCAACCAGGCAGCGAACTTCTGTGCTACTGATGGGGTAGAACAGAATTGGAGAAGGGTCTCCAAGAATGACGTGTCCATAATTTGCACAGGGGAGATCACATTTCTCTAACACCAAACCAACGAAGCAAGAAGGAACATCCACCTGCAACAGATCCAAAAGATCAAGTCAATCTCCTTGGAAATTCATGAATGATGAGGCCAACTTCTAGATCCAAGATTTTGCTGTACCTTTGGGTTGCACAGTGAGCGACGTAGATTTGAGAAGCAACCATCACAAACAATTGTTAAGGGTGCATATGCTGTCTGCTGCTCTCCATCTTTGTTCTTGTACTGCACACCTTTGATTGTTCCATTTTCTTCGAGCAGAGAAGTGACACTTCCTTGCTCCAGTCGCACACTAAAATAGAATTAGGCAAACACAGTAAATTACGGCTAAGCTCAACGAAGGAAGAACTATTAAAGCTTTGCCAATCGATGAACTTACTTGGGGAGGGATGCAGCTTTCTCCCGCATTCTCTGAATGAAACGCCCGTTGTGAAAGCTCCTTCCTGATACATCTGAGTGGAACTTCTCCAAGGGATAAGCAAGTTGGGTATGTTTCCCATCCTTGAAAAGGGCATAACCAAACACTCGTTGGGCATCAATTCCCTCCACGCAATCTGTTCCAAGAAATTAAAAGGGTTTTCGTGTTAGCCACTCATCTCCTCTAACTACAGCACTCAAGTGACAGACAGTTCACAAAGATGAGAAGGAAGAAGAAAGAAAGAAAACGGAAACCACACCTTGAAGACCCAATTCTATCAACTTCAGGTATCCTCCTGGTTGAAGCAATTCACCAACAATTCTATCCGGCTCGGTCAAATCCCTTTCAATGACATGCACCTTACGCCCATCCTGCAAATCAACCCCCCCTCATCAATTACAGCTCTTAATGCTTAATTTAACTCAATTGACGCCATTTCGTACTACAGATTCATAATAATAGACCAATTAGATTATCGCAAGATCATCACCACTAGGAAGCAAGTAAGGCAAGTCAGCAATTCATCGTACTAAGGCCATGACTAAGTACTAATGCTAGCAGATACAATACTGATCATGTAGACAACCAGTCGGATATCCGGCCGAATGAGATACAACTCAGCCGTTCGCAACTCAACGGTACAATGGACGAATTGAATGAAAGTGAAACAGATTAATACAATAACAACCAGAAATAGTGAAGGCGGAAAGCGAAAGGGTGGAAGAATCACGGAAACAGATACGTAATTGATAGGTAAGTTGCAGTTTGAGCAAACAGATTTTTTCCATCAAAGAAAACGTGTGGCTGTTCATAGCGTCGACAGGGAAATCGGTTCGCAGGAAAAAATGCAGCTCGTAAGAAAGAGAAAGCGAGCTTTTGAAACCTCGATGGAAATCATTACCTTGCCGAGAGTGTGGGCGAGAGCGGCGCCGGCGACGCCGGCACCAACGATGATGATGTCGGCATCGTCGTTAGCGTCGCCGCCAGATCTGCGTTCTTCTTTGGTGGTGGTGAGGTTCCGGACGGAATCACTTCTCCCCTCGGAAACTACTCTCCTACGATTAGCCTCCGCATTCCTTGTGGCGACGGAGTAAACGTAAACTCCGAGCAGGCCGAGGAGAGAGGCCAGAATCCAGCCGAGCAGACTACTAGTCTCCACCATTTTTTTGTTTTTTTACGAAGAATGCAAATCCCAATCCAATCCGATCAGGTAGAGAGAAAGCGAAAAATCCGACAACTGCAGGGCAAGAAGGGCGTCTTATATCTCCTCCGTCGTCGTCGGCGGCGGCGAAAGTCAGTGTGGTTGTGTTGTTTTCTAGTAATTCCCTAGAAGAAATTGGAGTCTTGTAGCTCCGCCTGGAAAGGGTACGCTGGCAAAAGTGTCTGTTAGCGAGGGCAAGAGTGTTTTTGCAAAGAGACAGAGATTGAATAGAGGGAAGGGGGCACGAGAGGACTCTATTATCTGTCTACGACGAAGGCAGGGAGAGGGCATTTTTATAGGCGTATTCCGCTTTCCGCCACGCCAAGCTGGTTGCGTTACCTACGCGGACGGACAGCGCGTCACACCACCACCACGAGGTGGTTCTTCCCATCCAACCCGCCATCCTCCGTACGGCACCGTTTGGAGACATCCCCCTTTTACTTGACTGCTGTTTCCGGTTGTTTGGAATTGGAACCACTCTCCGTTAGGCAGATCCATCCAGCTCACCACTCCAGGCACCACGCAGAACTAAGACCCGTTCACTTCTCATCTCGTTTTTTCTCTCTTTATTTTGGTAAACGAAAATGAAATCTGGAGAAAAGGAAGTTTTCGTTTTTAGAAGAACGATTCCTGAAAACCTGATTAGGTAGGATTTTTTGGTGAATCTGAAAACTGATATTTCTGTAAAATCTTAAATTGAAATAATTTTTTTTTTTTACTTGAAATACAAATATTGATGGCAATGGGGCGGGGCGAGTACCTCAATAATCATTGTCCCGCCCCCCACGCTACTACGGGTCAGTGCGGGTAATACCTGCGCGGGTACGGGGTGGGACGGGTTGACCCATACTTACATGTTATTGAAAAAATACACGCACAATTTTAGCTTTTACAATAAAATGAGGGGAAACACACTTTATGAATGAAAAATAGTGATAATATAAGAGATAATTGAGTCTAAATAATTGAAATATCAAGTTTAATAGTTGAAGAAAAGTCAAAACAAAAGAAATATGAATAGAATTGCAAGAAATCGAGATAAAATGGGTCAAGAACGGGGCGGGGAGGGTCAGGGCGGGTCGAAGGTAGATACCCATGCCCCACCCCCATGCTACTACGGGTCTGGTAATACTCGCCCCATCACGGGCCAAGTCGGGTAATACCCGACAGGGCGGGTTCAAATTGACATCCCTAAATACAAAGGCACTCATTTTCAATGGTAAATTTTGAATAAGCTAAGCAATGGTAACGCTATTACTTTTTGAACTCCATGTCACGTAGTTGGTGCATGCTTTCGATGATTGATTTTGAATACACATCATGTTCTTGGTACACAATACACATAATGTTCTGAGTTAATTACTAGATTAGCGTACATTTTTTAAGGTTTTCATTAATTCAATTATAAATGTATTACAAACATAATTTGAGATAGTATTTAGACCTGGCAATCGGGTTGGTTTGGGTAATTTCGGGTTGGGAATCTCGGGTTACGGGTCTTCACGGGTCGGGTAATGATGAATTTGCTGATTTCGGGTCAAATATTGACCCAACCCATCGGGTTTCGGGTCAGATTTTGGATCATGAGCATTCTCAGAAATAATATCAAACATGCTTCATAAATTTTTAAAAAACACAACTTTTTACGTATGTGCGACAATAGAACATGTCAATTAACAAATGCTCAACTCCTTCCATGCTAATGAAAAGAAATACAAATTGCACAAATTGTGAAAAAAACAATGACGAAAGTAAGACTACTACAATAAACAAATGATGTTTGATTATCTTATCATTTTGAGAGTGACATATGCAATGAAACGGGTCTAGCGGGTTGACCCACAAACCAACCCAACCCGACCCAAAAACTATGGGTTAATCGGGTTCGAGCCATTCGGGTTTCGGGTTATAAAAACCTCAACCCATTCTTTATTTTTCGGGCGGGTTCGGGTCGGATCAACAAGTCGGGTCCTCATTTGCCAAGTCTAATAGTATTCCAAACATTGAATTTTAAAATGAATTTCACATAGTAATTCATTTAGAATTGAAATGAGTAATTCATTCATTTGGTTTCAAATAGTCTATAAGATAAAAATTATATCTAATAAAAAGGAAAACTTGAGGTAAAAGAGAAAAATTAAAGGACTAAAATAAAATTATTAAAAATAATTGTAAGTATTGTCATTCAAATATTGCACCTTAACGATAATAAGAAAAAATGTTTTCATTTGAGAAAACAGATGGTGAAAACTGGTGGAAACAACGTTTTGTCATTTTCGAAAACAGCAGGAAGTTACCACTTTCTATTTTCAGAGTTGGAAACGAACAGAAAACAGAATTAAAAGTAAATAGGTTTTCTTGTTTCCATTGCTAGATTTATGGAATGAAAACAGAAAACGAAAATGAAAGTGAACAATCTTGAGACGATCCGGTTCAATTAGAGGTCGAGACTAGATATATATTTTTTTTTTTTGCATTGAGGGAGGCAAGCTGCCAAAGCAAGAAGAATTACAGGGGAAGTAGGATTAAGGAAACACGGGGGGAGGAGTATCGATAATGTTCCTGGGGAAAGTCACTCCACTGCTATCTTCCTCGAGTAAGATAATCAAACCATGGGGTGGCGCCTCTAGTTCGTACAAACCGTAGGGATAGACGAGACTGTGCTTCGAGAGCCAGTCTGCGACTCTATTCCCTTCCTGGTAGGTATGAACTAGATTCACTATCCAGTTCTGAGAGATCAATCGTCTAATTGCCGATAGCAGAGTCGCATAGGGATGAAGGGGGTCCGACCTGTTGTTGATGAGCTGGATCGCGGTCTGTGAATCAGATTCCAACACGATCACCCTATAGCCAAGTTTCCATGCCAACTTAAGCCCATGATAAATCGCCCAAACTTCTGCCATTGTGGTTGGGCACGATCCGAGGTGGGAGACAAAACCTGCAAGCCATGTCCTGTTCTGGTCCCGAAGCGCACCGCCGACTCTTGCAAGTCCCTGAGCTTCATTAAAGGCTCCATCAACATTGATTTTAGTCCATCTTGGTGGAGGAGGAGCCATCCAATCTCTACACGCATGCGGGTGGGTGGGCTCTGGCGCTTGCCTATGATGTCCACCGGGGCCTTCCAAGCGTTGTACCACAACTCCGCCTTCACTCTGATCGCCTGGATGAGCGATGCTGGAGAGAGTGTCTTCTGGCCTCCACTAAAGGCGCCATCGTTCCTGTTCTTGCACAGGTTCCAGAGGGCAATGCTGAAGAACGCCTTCCAGGGCACGCCCGTCTGGGAGGTATCTTCTTTTTCCAAATTCCTTCTTAGCCACTGACCGATGGGTAGGCTAAAAAACTCATGTTGCTGATCCACCGGAATAGTGTGTGCCCATAAAAAGGCTGCTGGCGGGCATTCTCGAAGGATATGCGAGACTGTCTCTAGCTGCGAGGAGCACCTGTAGCAGCAAGGGTCTTCAGTAATGTGCCTTGCAGCTCTTTGAACATTGCAGCTGATCTTCTCATGGGCAACTAACCAAATGAAACAGCGAACGCGTTCCGGGACGGGCTGTTCGGAGTGTGCTGGAGCAAATTAAAAGCACTCTCAGTTGAGAACTTTCCATCAGATGGGGGCCGCCAATACAGGTTATCTTCTTCTATCGCCAGTCGATCAAATGCTATCGCCGTGATTTGTTGCTGAACCTCAGGGGGAGGATACTGCTGGACTTTTCCACCTTCCATCTTCCTTCATCATCCACGAACTCAGCAACCTTGGCATTGAGATCTTCCTCCGGAATGGGTCCGACAACCAACTCCTGTAGTGGCACCTGGGAAATTCAAACATCAGACCATAAATAAGTTGTATTCCCTTTATGTATATTCCAAGCTTTAACCAGGTCCGCTGCTTTGGTAAAGCTTTTCCAGGTGAAGGAACTTCCCTGACAGGGTTTTAGGAGGTTCAGGTTGTCTCGGCCCTTGCCATATTTGCTTCGAGCGAGTTGAACCCAGAGGGTTTCTTTCTCTTGAAGTATCCGCCAGCCTCCTTTTGCTAGCATCGCCAAGTTCACTTCCCTTGTTGGTCTCAGGCCTAAACCACCATGGCTCTTCGGAAGGATGAGTTGTGGCCAGCCTACAAGGTGCAAATGTCTCTTCTCATCTGTATCTCCCCAAATGAAGCTCATGTTCGCCCGATCTAGGGATTTGCAGATGCTCATAGGCAGGAGTTCAGTCTGCATAGGATAAACAGGAATTGATGCAGATATAGACTTAACAATAGTAATACGAGAGGCAAGGGAGAGGTGCTTAGACTTCCATGGAGACAGTTTCTTCTGGATCCTGAGAAAGAGATCCTGGTATCTTGCTTTGTTCACCCGACCGTGAATAGCCATCACCCCAGATATCTCCCTAGGTCCACAGTCAGAGGTATCCCCACTCGGTTGGATAAACGCCTGGCAATGCGCCTATCAATGTTGGTTGAGACAAACATCGCTGACTTGTTATAGTTAACTTGTTGTCCCAAACTATGACAGAACTTGTCTAGACACTGCTTTATAGTCCGAACTTGGGCTCCTTCCGACTCTGCAAACAAAATCAGGTCATCAACAAAGAAGACGTAGGAAATAGAAGGACCATCTTTAGATAGCTTTAGGGGTTTCCAAAGCTTATCGCGAATGGCCTGGTCAATTCTGTGAGATAGACGTTCCATACACAAAACAAAAAGGTAGGGTGAAAGACGATCTCCCTGATGAACGCCTCTAGTGGGAGTAATCGGCGCTGAAAGTTCTCCATTCCAAAGTAGGCGCATGCGATTGCTTTCGACGCAGAACATGATGCCGCTAATCCAAGAACTGGGAAGGCCAATCTCCACAAGAGTGTCTCGCAGAAAATCCCAAGGATTTCTCGAGGTCTATCTTGAGAACCATTCCTCCTCTTTTGCCTTTCTTCTTCCTGAGCGAGTGAAGAACCTCTTGCAGGACAATGATATTATCTGTTGTCTGCTTGCCCGGGATAAAACTGCTATGTCTGGGAGACACCAGCTTCCTCATGATAGGCTTTAGGCGGTTGGTGATGGCCTTCGTGATGGCTTTCAAACACACATTATTGAGTGAGATAGGCCGGAGTTGAGACACATACTCAGGATGCTCAACTTTTGGTATCAGCACTACGGTGGACTCAACAACCTTGTATGGTAGTGAACCTGTGGAAAAGAAACTCATTGCCATATCAATCATAGCTTTTCCCACAACCTGCCATGACCTTTGGAAGAACGCCGCATGAAAGCCAT